CTTTGTTTTCTTCGGACAGATTATGCGGGGCCCAAACACCTGCTCTGCTTACTTTACCAATCCTCTGCAAATGTTCTTAGATGGTCTTTGACAGTTCTTTGTCATTGTCTAAAGTTGTTGGTCTTCCTGATCAATAGGAGTCAAAAAGGTCAAAATTACCGGATTTGAACTTAGAAAACCACTTTTGGCATTTACTAACGTCTAATGCACTTGGATAAACATTGCAAATGTGTTTGGTAGCAACTGTTGCGTTACTACCCTTGTGAAATTCAAAAAGCATACAATGCCGAATATGTACCTCTTCTTTAACACTAGATTGCCTAAGGAAGTCATTTTGACTGCTTTTCAATTTCAATTAGAAAAACAATTGTATATATAATGACACAGCTTCTTAGAATTTTGTGACTTTTTATACAACATATAAATGCGTTTATTAATCATTGTAGTTGCCTCCCCCCCTCTTTCATTTCCGGTATATATATGTGTTATACCTGTATTGCCCAAAAGCAGTCATTTTGACTACTTGGGAAATTTTAAATAATCAAATGACTTTTATTATTGAATTGAGTAAATTTCTTATATGACCAGATTCGGCTCCGAATTCGCATAACAGTTTATATATTTTTTGATTACCGTCACTTGTACGTGACTTGTTATTCGAATCTTTATGCCAGGCCTGCCCACGCACCTCATTCCCCTTGAATGCGCGATAACGTAGTTCAGGGGGAAGGAGGATCACTGATTGTAGGATAACTATGTAACTAATATTACTATGTAACTATGCCCAGAGATAAGTTCAAGCAAATCCTACGATTTATTCGTTTTGACAAAAGAACCGAAAGAAGTAGACGCCTCCAAACAAATAAATTTGCCTTGGTTTCGGAAATATGGGACAAGTTTATTGAAAATAGTCAAGCTTGCTATCAACCAGGGCAAAATATAACAGTTGACGAGCAATTATTTCCAACAAAAGCCAGGTGCAAGTTTATACAGTATATGCCTAATAAACCCAACAAAGGCATCAAATTCTGGCTTGCATCAGATGTTAGTAGCAAGTACGTTTTGAATGGTTTTCCTTACTTGGGGAAAGACGAACAACGACCATCGTCAATGCTTCTCAGTGAACACGTTGTTCTGAAACTGGTCGAGCCATACACAAACTGTGGAAGGAATATCACGACCGATAACTTTTTCACTAGCATGTCACTCGCGACGAAATTATTGGCCAAAAAAACAACACTAGTTGGAACTATTAGAGGAAATAAAAGAGAACTACCCAAAGAAGCCAAACAAATGAAGGATAACATGCCTCGTTTTTCCACTCTCTTATATAAATTGGAAAATTCTGTCCTTACAATATATAAAAGCAAACCGAATAAAAGAGTAGCTGTTCTATGTTCCAGGCATAAATTTGTGAAAATTGATAGAAGTAATAAAAAAATGTTACCGGACTCTATTCAATTTTATAACAAAACAAAATTTGGAGTTGATATGACGGATCAAATGGCCAGAAAATATACAGTAAAATCTAGTTCTCGTAGATGGCCCCTCCAAATATTTTTCAATATTTTAGATTTGGCTGCTATAAATGCTTGGATCCTTTACAAAGAAGCGACAAGAATACAAATACAAAGAAAACAGTTCTTGTTTCAATTAGCAGAACAGCTTTCCACCGATTACAGAGCTGCAAGACAGAAAAAGTCATCAGAAAATGAAGACCCACAAACATCAAATACAACATATTCTAACAAACGAAAAATTTGTCAAGTACGACTTTGCCACAATAACAAAACCAATAATATATGTGAAAAATGTAAAAAGTATGTTTGCGGAAGATGTACACATAAAAAAGATTTCCACTTTCATTTGCTTAAAATGTAGAAATAATGCATAAATTATTTTTTTTCCAAGTGAAGTACATGTTTTTTATTGTTAATACTTACTAATAACTTGTTGTATGACTGTAAATAATATAAGAAATATTAAAAATTAATTTTAAACAAATTTCTTTACACATTAGTTATTCTTTCACAATGCAGTCATTTTGACTGCTTTGGGGCAATATAGGTATACAGGGTGTCCCGTAAATAGTGTAAGAACCGGAAATGGGGGGTAGCTGAGACGATTCTGAACAACAATTTCCTTTGCAAAAATGTCGGATGGAGCTTCGTTTTTGAATTATTAACGAAAAACACTGACCAATCACGGCGCTCGCCTTCCGCGCGCTCAGGGCCGTCCGACCTCGGAGAGCCACCGCGCCGGGTAGGTAGCAAGATGCGCGTTGAAGATACATCGAGGAACGAATACAAATAATTAAAAATACTACCACTACAACTGTTACTTAATTCGTTAATTACTACGTAATTAGTACGTAAATTACTAAATGGAATTTATTAATTATTTGTATTTGCTGTTTCCGAGAAAGAAGGAATAAAATCTCGGAATTTTTAGGAAATTAACCCTTCGCAACCGAGTGACGCTTCTCGCCAGAGTGTTTTAAAATTAAAACAAGAATTATTATCATGGAAAATTTGTTATAAAAAAGAAAGAAGAATATACCATGAAAAATTAAATAAAATAAAAAGGTTTTGTTTATAAAAATAATCCACAAAGAAGGAGTCAATACATAATAGATAATATGCGATAATAAAAATATTGGAGCAACAAAAACAAAAATATTTAAAAAGAATAAATAATTTTTTTCTAATTCTATTTTTCAAATGAAAATTCCAAGAAGATATTTTTTAATATTTGTGTTAAATATTTTGTTGTACAATTAAATATGTTATCCATGAAAAATATTCACGGTGAATTTTAAAAATTCTATTAGAAGAGCCGACCGTACAGTTTAGCAGCAAACATTTGCGGCAAACATGGTCTGCACGTTCGTCGATCGCAGGTAACTCCGAATCGCGCGACAATGGGTTGCCTTACCTGGAACTTTTTCGGGGAGGGAAATGCAATTTGTCAGTCAAAATTTTTCACAGAACCTACGCGTTTCTGAACAGAAGCGGACGCACGCGATGGAACGCGTAAACGCAGAGGATTATCGTTCGTTCTTCGTTTTCGCGGACACCAAGGGGAACGCGAAGAAAGCCGCCCGCACGTATCGCGCCCATTATCCCAGCGAAAAGGAACAACAATCCTGAAGGGAGCAAGGTTCGAAGAAGCAACAATCCAGGAAGGAGCAACAATTCAGGGAGCAACTACCATTCAGGAAGGAGTAACAATTCAGGAGGGAGCAACATCCAGGCACCGTTATCAACCCAGGAAGGAGCAACAATCGAAGTAGGATGCAACGGAACACATCGGTATGTGAAAGTGAAAAGTGTTAGTGACCGTGCGTGAAGTTTTTTCGGGGTGAGAAGCAGGTACAGCGATCGGGCCGTCCCATCAGCTGATTTTCGTTGGGGTTTTTGACCTTGCTGTGACCGACAGCGGTGCATTGGCCGGGCTCTATTGTCAGCGCAGTAGGTCAATTTGCAGATAAATGGGTAAGTCGAATTTCAATTATTTCTCTATTAACCCTTTGCATTCGAGGAATGTTTCGGTACGCAGAAATCCAGTCTGCTTTTTCAGTACAGTTTTTAATAACAAACGGTTACAAATGGTTCTTACCGTATTTATTTTAATTTTCTGATAATAATTTTTATTTTAATTTTAAAACACTCTGCCGAGAAGCGTCACTCGGTTGCGAAGGGTCAATTTCCTAAAAATACCGAGATTTTGTTCCTTCTTTCTCGGAAACAGCAAATACAAATAATTAATAAATTCCATTTAGTAATTTACGTACTAATTACGTAGTAATTAACGAATTAGGTAACAGTTGTAGTGGTAGTATTTTTAATTATTTGTATTCGTTCCTCGATGTATCTTCAACGCGCATCTTGCTACCTACCCGGCGCGGTGGCTCTCCGAGGTCGGACGGCCCTGAGCGCGCGGAAGGCGAGCGCCGTGATTGGTCAGTGTTTTTCGTTAATAATTCAAAAACGAAGCTCCATCCGACATTTTTGCAAAGGAAATTGTTGTTCAGAATCGTCTCAGCTACCCCCCATTTCCGGTTCTTACACTATTTACGGGACACCCTGTATACTAAGTTTCAGTCTTTCTAGTGTTAAGATTTAATTATTTACGAGTAAACAGGTCACTCTAACCTTGCAATGTCTTTGGCATGACTTTCGCAGAAACGACATTACTTTCCAGTCCCTAGTTCATATGTAATATTTTTGTATTTAATTTGCAATTCTTTAAGCATACGTGTTCTTTCTCCATTGCCTATTCTGCTGTGAGTTTCAAATAGTATACTGAATAATTCATCGTTGATAACATAATACTGTATATTCGTTTCTCTTGGTTTTAATGATATAATTAATTTCTCTTGATCATTAATTTTTAAAACGTCAAAACGTTTTAATCGTCTGTAATCCAAAGGTGTGCTACACTTAGTTTTAGCAGAAATCACTTCAAAAAGTATTTTGGAGATCTTTTCTTGAGGGAAATAAAAACAATTGTTTTGTCGTTTATTCGCAATTAATGCACGTAACTTTTCGAAAAAAAGATCACGGTTCACTACAATATCTATTCAACATAAATTAGGGTATCAGATAAAAAAATGAAATTTAAGAAAATGTCGCACACACCAGCAAACCTTGCATAAGACTGACAAACGCAGTGTTCCACAGTATAATAAATAGATACCACGTGACCTCAATCGCAGCAGAACAAAGGATTTAGCGCCAGACTGTCGCCTTTCTGTCGACATCGGCTTTCTGTTTCAACCTCCACCAGAGCATATCTGTGCTTGTCGGCATACACCGGTGGTGGCCCGAATGTATAAGTATATAACCAAATATGTACCTACTCGGTCTTTCACCGATGTATGTGGTACGTGTTGACATTCACCAGAGAAAGACGTCATTCTCCAATTTCGGTCATTCACGGTACAAGTACATATCACAACACATTGAAAAATCATAAACTGATTATATTGATAAACTTACCTTGATTCTATTAGATAATCTAAGAAAAACAGATTCTTTTTGTGGCATGATATTGTTTGTTGACTGTGTTACCGAGGCACTTGAAGCAGGCCCATTTTGAATCTGTGCAGCATCCCCTTCTAAATCCTTTAAATCAGATAGCAACGTATCAAACATCAACGGATCCTGAGATGCTAATTTAATTCCTTGATCCACAATTTCTGGTTGTCCTTGTTTTCCTTCATAGTCGAAGTGTTCCATTTTCTCTACTTTGCTTGGTATAGCGACAAATTCCAAAGGCTCTACATCAAGTACAACATCTTCGTGTAACAACTCATTATCAATAGTAGTTGTTAAAACGGAAGGAATTGTTTGAGCTTGATTTTCAATTGAAGTACTAGAAGTAATCAATGACTCTTCAGAGTCTTTTACATTTGCATGTTGTCCGCTATTTAAAGACTCGAGAATAGTTGTTAACGTTTCAGTCTGAATTGATTCCTCGATACTATCTTTACTAGATTCTAAAATAGAAATTGTGGAAATATTTTTTAGTTCTTCTTTTCCAAGTAGTTTGTCAGGTTTTATTTGCGAGGCTAAATTTTCAGAACTCGTGGAGGTCTCAATAGGTATACTAATAGATTTATCAACTTCTTGATTAAGTATTTCCTGATTACTTTTTTGAGATTCTCGAGAAGATACTAATTTACTATCAGCACTTGAACTCGAAATGTACATAGGTGGTACATGTTCAAATGGCTTAATTGTTTCAGTATTATATTCTTCATTATCTTTACGTAAAACATCTTCCTTACTGGCATCTTTAGTATAGTTAAGTAGTATTTCATAGCTTGCATTCAGTACCATTTTACCTTCTTTTATTGCTAACATATTACAGAGTGCCGTAATATATTCACTCTTATATATAGATGTAAAGAATAATAACTGTAAATTCTTTGTTGAATTAAACCTTTCATCAGGTTGGTTGTGTTTTTCTACTGTATCTTCTATTTTGCTAGTTTCTTCTCCAGGATTTCTTTTGATAAGAGTTTCAATTTCCACGTCGTAACTCTTACAGAATCCATTATGTCGTAAAGTTTTGTTCACAAGATCAATTTTTAATAACTGATTCAATTGTTGCAATCTGCAACTAATTAAATAGAATACCTTCGCAAGTTTCTGATTCGAGCAACCATTGCAAAGAATTGTATATCTTGGCGTAGTGCAATCAAGAAAAGAGTTCTCAAAAAAATTACTGCTATTTACACTTTGTTTGATTCTTGTGACATTTTCACCAGCTAATTCATTGGATTTTCCTAATACTTGAGCTGCTTTTTTTACAATACTTAATACAGCATCTCTAGCACTACCAAATAAATTTCTTGGTGGCTCACCAATTTCAATGTCTAAAATTTCCTCTCCGTCACTATCTTCTTCATTGTGTGCATCTGTATCCGTATCTCTTGAAATTTGATTTTCTGTCTCCGTTTCTAAAACCTCGAATTCACTGGTGCCATAAGCACGAAATAATGAAATGGGGCAAAAATGTTCAGACCCATAATATGTATGAAGCTCTACTTTTATAAATTTTCCAAAAAGATGTGGTTGTAAAACAAAACTTTGAATATCCTTTACGTCTTTCGCAGTGAACTGACCAACCAGACTCCAGTCTCGCGTAGGAAAACGATCACTAATGTATACCGAAAAATCTTTTGGTAATGAACTAAAAAGTTCAAAATTGGCCAATTCGATTTTTTTTGCTTGAATAGCCTCGCAAAGTTCTACCACAAACCATATGCGCGATGTGCAGGTATTCAACATATATTCATCCCTGGTGTATGCTAAAACACTTCTGGCACTTCGAGCTTCCGGATTGGCTGCTACGATTTTAGCTCCACAATCTGGAGAAGCGTAATTCTTGGAACGAATCTTCATTCCACCAATTCCGCGCACTGGGGCTCCAGAATTTTGAACAGATACATTTGGATGTGCTGCAAACAAAAAACTTGTGATGTGAACAAGTTATTACATATGAGCCGGTTATTATGAAAATGTCCTATGTTATGAAAGCAAAGAAATTGAGATTTTCATTTAGCATTATAACATATAAACTATATTTCATTATTATGGAAGACTTTTTGCTAAATTGTCATGAAGTAAGTAATAAAATGAAGTTTTCATTTTCATTATTATCTGTATGTTTATATTCATTTTGATAGTATCATAAATCATTGTTTAACCTAACGCGTTGTGATAAAAGAAGTAACATAGTCACATTTTCTGTACATATTTTTCTATCATGTTGTCAAACAACGGCTACCAAAATATCACATCAAACTGAAAATAGATGCACATATAAAATTTTCAATGTTTGTTTTTATTAAATATATTAATAGCTAGATACTATAGAACTTTATAATAAATGTATTGACTTTTCTTTAAACAATGATGTATGGTGTATGTTTAATAAGTAACGGACTTACTGTTATATACTTGCCAAGTCATGTATGAATAACACTAAATGAAATAATAAGTATATAGGCTGTTTGACTACCCCTGGGAAAAATTTTAATGGAAGATTCCAAACGCCAAAATAAGACGAAAATCGAGAATACCAATTTGTTGATTGAGGCTTTGTTAAAAAGTTATTAACGTTTAAAGTTCCGCCTGTAGCTGCGTGCGTGCGATAGTTCGAAGCAGGACCTAGTGATTCTCACTCATAAAACTGTAAGGTTGTTGACACGTCAGTAAATAGAGTTTCACACACTGAGTCAGAACCACTATCGCATGTATGCAGCTGCTTGTAGATTGTCGTTTTACAGGCGGAACTTTAAACGTTAATAACTTTCTAACGAAGCTTCAATCAACAAATTAGTATTCTTGATATCTGTCTTATTTTGGCCTTTAGAATCTTCCATTAAAATTTTTCTCAGGGATGACCGAACACCCTGTATATTTGCAAAGGGTGTAACCGAATAAGAGTGTTAAATGTGCCCCCAAACCAAATTGAACTTGCGATGAGTCATTTGATAGCTTATCGAAAGAAAACCCTTTGTGCCAATTTTTAACCCGGAATCTCGACGGTGGGGATATTAATGGAGTAATAAACAAAAATCACGTTTTTGCGCAATTTCTTTTGTTTTATTGAATAAAAAAATGTAGAACAGTACAGAGACATTTCAGGTATCGGGACACACATTTTGGAAATTTTTCAAATTTTTAGATTAAAGAACCAGGTAGTAAAAAATAAAAAACTGCAAAAAATGCTGAAAAGTGCCGATTATGCATTGAAGCAGTTACAGAACTACTTTTATATTTTTACACTAAACAGGTATTGTTATTACTATTATTCTTAAATTTTTTCAGATTGAACATTTTGGTGCGTTGTAGTGAGAAAAAATGAAAACCGATTTTTTCCTCATTTTCTGCATGTTAGAGTAACTTAAAGTCGAATTTTTATGTATCCTTTAGCATATGAGTGTTTCGTGGACTGTTCAATATTTCTACACTAAGCAGAATTATATAAGAATTGAAAAAAATAAAATAAAGCCAACCGTTGAGCGCAATATATCCTAAAGAGTCGACAATATTTCCAACGGTGCCATTGTCGCAGCAGTAAAGTGTCGGACTGTGGACCGCTGGAAGTTTTTTAACCGTAAGTTCGAGTCTCTCTTTTGGACTTAATTCTTTTTGTATTCATTAATTTTTTTTCAACTGCTAGCTATATAACAATGATCTATATTTACTTATAAATGTTCTGAGGTATTCAAAATATAATTGAACCTTGAATATGTATAAAAATAATTTTGAAGCAATTTTTGCGTCGGAGCATTTTCTTATCTCCACATCATTTGAGAATAACTCGAAAATAATTAACGTTATATATTGTTAAACTATTGCAGTGCTTAATAAACAGTTCAATCCAAAGAGATTTGATAATTCGGTATATGATATACTCTTCTGGCACATTGCTGTCTTTAAAAAACATTTTTCCGTAAGATTATTTTAATAAATTGTAGTTAATAAGAAATTGGAATTCTAAACACCATGTTACATATCATTCATGCATGGGGCTGAAACGTTTGGTGACTTGGCCGTTGGCTCGAGCATCTAGCGTGCAACCCTTTGAACGGGGTTGACTCATGCCGTATGCGAGCACCCGGCCCAATTTTCATTACCTTTTATGGTAATGCCCCGCAATAGTACTGAGCATTTCTCAACTATATAAGACACTCAGGGCAAGATCGGGCTATAATCCCCTTCAAGCAACTATCTATTACTATCTACCTTAGCGGTTTATCAGTGAGTGTCCATTAATCGAGTAGTAGCTCCCGCGAACGCGCCGCGTAAAAGCCGATAAGAAATCTTTCGCCTTCGAGGCAATTTAGCAATTGTACAACTTCTTGTAAATCCATAGCTGTACTTGAGCATCGTCAAAAATATATATTCAAGTAGCATTCCTTACGTGTGTTATTCACTCAATTCAACCCTGAACCATATTAACCGTAAGGCTAGGGGTATCTCACGAACCCGGTACACCTTTACCGCTCGAGGTGTACCATCACGACAGAGAGCAAGATCCTAAAAACATCCTAAAAACCTACGTGGCTCCCAGGGTATAAAGCCCCTGGTTCGTCCACTCCTACTAGCGGCTCCCAGGGTATAGAGCCCCTGGTTCGTCCGGACCTCCTTTCTTTTCCTAAGCATACCCAAAACCACCGGTCGAGTACTGCCCCTCGACCGAATCCAGGATCTCGCGCTCGCGCTCGTAACAACCAATACAAAATATTTAAATTCTTTACTTCTGTTCTACATTTGTACTTCAATATCCTCAATAGATAACTTCCAAGTGAACCCCCGGCTTGCAGAAAGAATAGACAGAATATGGAAAAAAATAATAAAGTTATGGATTGAACGTTATACATCTCGCGACTATACAGGGTGTTTGGCCACCCGTGGGAAAATTTTAATGGGAGATTTTATAGGCCAAAATAAGACGGAAATCAAGAATACTAATTTGTTGATTGAGGCTGCGTTAAAAAGTTATTAACGTTTAAAGTTCTGCCTGTAAAACGGCAATCTGTGAACAGCTGTGCGCGCGCGGAAGGTTGCGGCAGGCCAGTGCTAGTGGTTCTCATGCAGCATGAAAAATTCTACTCACCGACGTTATCGACAACCTTAGATTTTTGTGTCCACTTATGGGAACGTGAATACCTCACTTTTAATGAGATTCAATTGTCCATAGTGTCCGTGTTTAAAGATTGCATAATGCCGAGCGATTGTCCCCGTCCGCAATTACCGTTAATCCTGTTTGCATACGTGACAATCCTGAGATTCTCTCTAGGAGAGTTCGTACAGCGAGCAGTGATACAAAAAAGGCGGTTATTACTTGTTTTTGTGGCATCAGTAAAGGCTCATTACCTTCGATTTAAATATTCCAACGGTGTTGATAAAGTGATGATACTAGTACAGTACCGTGAGAGAGTAGCGCACAAATAATTAGACGGAGAAAGACTACCGAAATCTGAGACAGCGCCGCGTAACAACTAATTAGAGTACACGGCCGCGTCTTCAGCTGTCAATCCGCGCAGTTCTACGTAGACTTCTCACTACAGCGTATTGGCACCCGATTCTGCTCGACCAGAAAGATTTAATAAGGAAAGTTCCGATTATCTAATTTGAGAACTGTTCTGCCTTTATTTGACGGGTGTAAAAAGTAGATGTTCAGTCTGGTGCGGGTCCACTGATAGACCTTGCACAGCTGAGAATTCATTAAACTCGAGAAACGTGTGGAAATTATCCGCCTTTTCCTTGACGAACGGATCATTTTGAGATTCGGTCAAATGCACCCAGGAATCTCGTATGGGATTTCCCAATTGAGATTCCACGTAATCAGTACGGCGGCAGGAGATCGAGAAAATACACCAGTAGGTTGTTCGATCCCTTAGTGAAGAATTGAGTGGTTGTCTCGATAGTTTGAACGATTGAGACACAAGAAAGTTGGCCAAATACACCTAAGGGAGGCACTTACGTGGCGTACCTCCAGGTGGGTCCACTGTAGTCGGGTCGGCGTCCACTAAGGACGCTTAACTTCTCGGTCTTCGGTACCTTACTCCTACAGATCCTGCCGGTGTAACGTTTAGAAGAGCATCTAATGCGGAGGAGTAACGGAGTCACGGGTCAGGCTCCCACGTAGTTCAACCCCCGACTAATAAGACATCTGTTGGAACGTTTAAGAGAAGCCGCAGATCGACGGTCGGGCTGTTGCACTGCACTGCGTTTCGACGCATAAACTCACAATCAGTGGACAGACTCACGGGAAACGTGCATTTGAAGCCTTACAACCTCCACTTGCCGCCCCGTCCACTACGCAATCGACTGCAATATGCGTAGATAAGAAATTAATTCTTTATCTACGCCAAAATAAAAAATACAGTCCACTAGCGCGTTCGTATATAACGAACAAACGAAATCCCCGCTCCTGTACGTTCGAATAAGGAAGCCAGAAGCGTGAGGAAACAAGTGCGGCACAGGTACGTACAACGTGTTTGCGTGTGTCTAACAGATAGCCATGTTTTTCTGATTATAGGAATCCAGGCCTACCTGAACACGGCGAGTTGAGATCAACAACCGCCTAGAAACCAGGCAACGAAATTATAATTCTTAATTTTGTTCATTTCCTATTTTTCATTTATATTTATATAATATTAATTTGGTTTTCTTGGTTTTTTGTTTAAATTACATATTTCATAATAAACGGTCGACCGTAAGGACGATGAAAAGAAAACCACTAAATTGTAATCAATTTCCCAGTAAACTCCAGATTCTCCTATCTGGACTTCGTCGTTAGAAGCATCAGCTTTTTAACAGTCCGCGAGTGACCACAAATAATCCTTTCAGGCACTAATCACTATGCAATTAAATAAGCATACACCGCAGTTATGTTATTCGCGAATATCTACATATGCGTCCACGAGCAAACGATGAACTA